GTAAACGGGACCAACATTCCCAGAAGACAATGGTGCCATCACACACCTCTGTGTGGCAGAGCCAGTAAACGGGACCAACATTCCCAGAAGACAATGGTGCCATCACACACCTCTGTGTGGCAGAGCCAGTAAACGGGACCAACATTCCCAGAAGACAATGGTGCCATCACACACCTCTGTGTGGCAGAGCCAGTAAACGGGACCAACATTCCCAGAAGACAATGGTGCCATCACACACCTCTGTGTGGCAGAGCCAGTAAACGGGACCAACATTCCCAGAAGACAATGGTGCCATCACACACCTCTGTGTGGCAGAGCCAGTAAACGGGACCAACATTCCCAGAAGACAATGGTGCCATCACACACCTCTGTGTGGCAGAGCCAGTAAACGGGACCAACATTCCCAGAAGACAATGGTGCCATCACACACCTCTGTGTGGCAGAGCCAGTAAACGGGACCAACATTCCCAGAAGACAATGGTGCCATCACACACCTCTGTGTGGCAGAGCCAGTAAACGGGACCAACATTCCCAGAAGACAATGGTGCCATCACACACCTCTGTGTGGCAGAGCCAGTAAACGGGACCAACATTCCCAGAAGACAATGGTGCCATCACACACCTCTGTGTGGCAGAGCCAGTAAACGGGACCAACATTCCCAGAAGACAATGGTGCCATCACACACCTCTGTGTGGCAGAGCCAGTAAACGGGACCAACATTCCCAGAAGACAATGGTGCCATCACACACCTCTGTGTGGCAGAGCCAGTAAACGGGACCAACATTCCCAGAAGACAATGGTGCCATCACACACCTCTGTGTGGCAGAGCCAGTAAACGGGACCAACATTCCCAGAAGACAATGGTGCCATCACACACCTCTGTGTGGCAGAGCCAGTAAACGGGACCAACATTCCCAGAAGACAATGGTGCCATCACACACCTCTGTGTGGCAGAGCCAGTAAACGGGACCAACATTCCCAGAAGACAATGGTGCCATCACACACCTCTGTGTGGCAGAGCCAGTAAACGGGACCAACATTCCCAGAAGACAATGGTGCCATCACACACCTCTGTGTGGCAGAGCCAGTAAACGGGACCAACATTCCCAGAAGACAATGGTGCCATCACACACCTCTGTGTGGCAGAGCCAGTAAACGGGACCAACATTCCCAGAAGACAATGGTGCCATCACACACCTCTGTGTGGCAGAGCCAGTAAACGGGACCAACATTCCCAGAAGACAATGGTGCCATCACACACCTCTGTGTGGCAGAGCCAGTAAACGGGACCAACATTCCCAGAAGACAATGGTGCCATCACACACCTCTTGTGTGGCAGAGCCAGTAAACGGGACCAACATTCCCAGAAGACAATGGTGCCATCACACACCTCTTGTGTGGCAGAGCCAGTAAACGGGACCAACATTCCCAGAAGACAATGGTGCCATCACACACCTCTGTGTGGCAGAGCCAGTAAACGGGACCAACATTCCCAGAAGACAATGGTGCCATCACACACCTCTGTGTGGCAGAGCCAGTAAACGGGACCAACATTCCCAGAAGACAATGGTGCCATCACACACCTCTGTGTGGCAGAGCCAGTAAACGGGACCAACATTCCCAGAAGACAATGGTGCCATCACACACCTCCTGCTTGTCCATCTGTAATGTTTGTGTGTGGGAGGGGGTGTCAGGGATGAGACAAGGTCTTACTATGCAGCCCAGGCTGGATCAGAACTCACGATACAGCCCAGGCTGCCTTGGATTTGTAGTAATCTTCCTGTGCTAGTGTCCCGAACACTGGGACTACAAGCTATCATCATGCCTAGCTGTCTGTCAACTCTTTCACTTCAATGTGAAAGGGAAACAAACATCACTTTTGTTTAGGTCATTGTTTTGTGACCACTAACTAGGAGCTAATCTTAACTGAGCCAGCAACTCATCCAAAACGATGGCAAAGGTCAGCCACAAGTGTACCAGCACGCAAGGTTCACGCTCTCAGGCAAAGTCTGACTAGATTTGCAGGAGACTTTGTGTGTATGATGAGGAATGTTGCAAAAAGCCAAAAAGAAAAGATCTGAAGGAAGGAAAATAAGGTTCGGACGTGCTCTTAATCCTGCACACAGAATTAGGCACAAGGACATGTGACCTTAAAGAATTCAGCCCCCACCAGAGATGGGCGAAGCAAAACCTCAGTTACCTCTGAGCTGAAAACGAGAAAACCACCCGTACGTGAGCAGCTCCCGTGTTTAATGGCGGGCACTCCAGAGAGGCGCCGTGGAGAGGTGGCTCAGTCGGGCAGGAAAGACCTGTAAAGCGGTCTGTATTCACAGAAGCAAAGATGCAGTTCAGATAGGCGGTCTGGAAAGGGACAAAGAGTCTCACTCACGTGACCCACATCAAAGGCAGCATGAAGGTCAAAATGGGAAAAGAAAAGTTTGCGGTTGAAGCTGGACACCCATTTTTATTCCCTTTGCTCTTTCACAACAGCACTGGAGGAGTGGACCCAAACTGTGTTGCGAGTGAGAAGAAGTCTTAAGAAAGGGAAATCTCACAAGAGGGGCTTCAACTGTTACCTTGTTGCTCAGTTTCTAAATGAGCAGCCAACCATTTGAGCATGGCGACATCAGTGGAGTTGGTCCAATTTTATTGAAGATCAGTCTTAGTGATCCAGAAAAAAAGAAAAGCAGGCTATCATGTCTGGTAAAGGTATTGTTTTGCTACATCTATGAAGGTGTGAAGGGAGCTTAGGTAATAATACAGTTGAGGGCCAGGGAGACAACAATAAATTCAGCTGCAGGTCCCTGGGGTTCAGTCCCTGGACTGCTTGTTCTCTGGCAAGACAAGCAGCTGTCCCCCCAGTGTGCAGGAGCACAACGGAGTCAGAACACACCCACCTCTGATAAGATCCGAGGGCAACAGAGGGATGCTGGGAGAGAGGAAGATGAGATGGAAATTCAACTTGAAAGGCACTAACCCAAAACCAGGCATTGGGTTTTGCATGGGTGGTTACAACAAAAAATCAACACAAAAGACTCCTACACGAAAATTTCAAGAAAAGTTTACAAGTTAGATTTTTCTGAAGAATGGGTCCTAAGTTTTAAAAAGACCTCTCCCCTTTCAAATTCAGAACATAAACCAAAAGGAAAAGTGTCAGGTCACTGAGGGCAAATACCCATGTGGTCATCTAAAACACTTGAGGTCACCTGGTGTCCTTTCCAAATTTATTGTCTAGAGCTTTGTTTACTTTAATTCACGTTGGCGTTTCCATACTAACGATTCTGAAAATGGAAACAGCCGTGGGGGTGGCCAGTGGGCTTGAAGACAAATCTCAGCATGTCCAATGCAATTGCTCACAGTGTGAACATGTGTATTGGTTTCATACTGAAACAACCTTCTTGTCAGAAAAAAACAAAAAACAAAAACAGGCATTTCAAAGGACACTCAGCTTAATTCTAACACGAAGACTACATGTGTGTGTGTGTTTGTGTGTGTGTGTGTGTGTGTGTGTGTGTGTGTGTCCGTCCATGCATCAGCTTTGGAAACCGGGCATGAGAAAATGGGCATGACCCAAGGCCCTCCCTAGGCCCGATTTTTTAGCTCATAGCAGCATCAGACATGTTAGGGCTTAAGGTTTTAAATCCCACAGGCCCAAATGCCTGGGGGATTAATTGTTATTTCTTATTCTCTTCAAGAGTGGACCTGCTCACTAGGAAAGCTCCCAGAAAAAGAAAGTGACTTTGGCATCCAAGACAACATTTGGGGTCCTGAGGCAGAATTTGCACATGTGACAGTACTGGAACTGTTGTATTACACTTAGAGTTAGACTCAGAACATAGCCATCCAGTCAAACTACACACTGTTACTGTTGCTACTCTTGGGTCACCAAACCCTCAGCCTTGCCTCTGCTAAGTCCCCTAGAGCCACACTCTCAGTCTCTAATTTCTTCCTGCTACTCACTGTGCAAATTACCCAAATTGACTTCATACTTGCAATTTTTAAAACTTTCACTCTTGGGGCTGGAGAGATGGCTCAGAGGTTAAGAGCACGGACCACTCTTCCAGAAGACCTGGGTTCAATTCCCAGCACCCACATGGCAGCTCACAACTGTCCGTAGCTACAAATCTGATACCCTCACACAGACAGACATGCCCGAAAAACACCAATGCAAATAAAATAGAAATAAACTTTCACTCTTATCTTTACATAGCACTTTTTTTTCTGTTAAGTTTTCAGGCAAGGTAGGATGTATTCAAGGAAATCCACGCATTGGAACTGACTTTCAAATTTAGGTTTGTTCTTGGGGGGGGGCGGCAAGGGGTCCCAGGGGTGGTTTTCATGACCACACACCAAAGTCTTCCACAAATGTCATACACAGTTCAGGCAACCTACGGACTTTGGGAAGTCAGTCGAGGACACGGATTAACGAGCCTCTTCCCTTCTAACCTGTCAGCACCTGCAGCCCAGGAGGAGGAACCTCCGAAGTCTTCAAATGGAAATTAGTTGACCCCTTCGAGCTCAAACTCTAAAGTCTCAGTGGCAGGCCGGTACATACCCAAGCGCATAAAATGTCGACAGGAGGAGCCAGGGCAGGGGGCAAACGTCGGCGACCCAATGTGACCCCCTCGGGTGAGCCGCACTCACCTGCGGCGAGACCCCCGGGTGGAGGAGGAGGGTCCTCGCCCTGCGGTCCCCAGGACACACACAGGTGCGCGCTCAGCCTCGGGAGCAGCGGAGGCACCGCCTGGGCGCGGCCGCCCCCTCCTCTCGCCCCGAATGACCCCCAGCATCCAGGAGCGGTGGCGCGTGGGGACCCGGCCCTCCCTCTCTCGGGGGCGTGGGAGCCGCGCGGCCGCCGCTCGGCCGGGGACTGTGCCACCTGCCCGCGGCGGGACTCCCAGGTGAGGCGCGGCCAGGTAACCGCACCTGCCCTGCGGCCCCCACCTGCTGCTGCCGCCGCGTCCCCTTCCCCCGCCCGGCCCCGCCGTCCCCCACCTACCTTCGCGCCCAGAGCCCCCGGGACCCGCGCTGCCCCGCCGGCCGGGGCGCGCCGAGCGGCCGGCGCTCGCACTCCGCCCGCGACTGCGGCTCAGCGGGAAGCCCCGGCGCTGCCGGGCTCGCCGCCCCAGAGCCGCTCCATTGTGACGCGGCGCGCGCAGCCGGCCAATGGGCGAGCGGCGGCGCGAACCGCTGACTTAGTTCCCGGGCGGAGGAGGAGCGGAGCGCGCGGGCGGGCGGCGGCGCGGGCGGGAGCCGGGGACGCGCAGCGCCGCCTCCGAGCCGCCCCTGCCCAGATCGCTCCGCCGCCGCCGCCGCCGGGCCCGAACGTCCGCCCGGCCTTGGGACGGACCGCGGGGCCCCGTGACTCACCCTCCTGCTGCAGACAAAGCGCAGCGGCCACCTCCCCGAGCCAGCGCCATGCGGCCACACGCGTGCATGGCAGCCACACGCGTTGCCGGGAGCCGGGGCTGCGTGCCAAGAACCCGGGAACCGGCGCCCTGGGCTGGTCCCCAGGCGCCCTGCCCCAGCAGAGGACCCCGGCCTGCTCACGTGCGCACCCCGGAGAAACTTGTTACTGGCGTAACTTGGGCCACCAGGAAGGGTGGGGTGCGCGGTGCAGGGCCCGCCTCAGTGAAGTCCTTCAAAGCTCTTTACCTCCCGGCACTGGGAAGGTTGCAGGGCTCCTGGGAGGGAGATTTCCACTAGCGCCAAACTAAGCGGCTACTTGAGCTGGCTTCTGGGCCTCCAAAACCTTGCTTTTATTTCCAGCGTCTTTATCTTCCACATGAGGTACCAGTGGCCTTGTCTTCGGCTTGAGGTAACAATATGGCAGGGTGGCTACACCTAGTGATAGCATTTCGTTGTTGATGGCCACCTGCCCCACCCTCCTCCCTCCCCTGTGAGGTGGCCCTGGCATTTGAAGAGTAACGGGATCATTTACAAGTTAAGCAAAACTCTAATCCGAATCCAGAAAATTGGGTGATTTAATCCTTTCGTCCTCCTCGAATCCTTAATTTGCCCACACACCCCTACTCCTTAAAAACAGAAAGAAAAAAGAAAAGAAAAACAACAAACACAAAAAGGTCAGGCTTTGTCCAGGTCATCTCTAGCACGGTGATTCAATTCAGCAAGATTTGTATCTCTTAGTTGCTATGGTATTCACATCCCTATTTTAACAAAAAGGGGTAACAAGACACTCCCAGAGGAGTAAGATGAAGACAGCATTTGGATCACCGGATCAAGCTGGGCACCAAATACCCATACACACGACTGAGTTATATAAGGCTGCACTATGTCCAACAGAGACCGGTTCACCCCACAAGTCACCGCTCTGCTCTGCTCCTATCCAATCTGTACTGGGGGCAGTTGAGTGGAGTCTGCAGGTAAGTGTGGAAATCACCGTGAGGGCTGACGGCCCAGCAGTTGCGAGCACTGCTCTAGCTGAAGATCAGGGTTTCGTTGTGGCTCACAACTGCCCACCTCGACAGCTCCAAGCCATCTGACACCCTTTCCTGGCCCCTGAAGGCACCCACACACCCATGGCCCTCCACACATGGCCACACACACATGTGCCCCCTCACATGGCCCACACACACTTGTGACACCATACATGTGGCACCCATACATATGGCACCCACACAAGTGGCACACACACATGTAACATGCACGCATGTAACATGCGAATGTGATACACAGTGCGGCGCACACACACAACCTTTTTTTTTAGTTCCTTCATCTGAACACTCAGCATACTGTTACTACATTGTGTGTGTGAGGTTCGTATGCACACACCTGCTGTTCCAGACTTAAGTATGACCCTCAAATTGTTACCAACTGGACAAAGTGTCTTTTTTAAATATAATTCTGAATAAAAATTAAGTGCTGTAAGAGATCCAGGGTATAAGATCAGGACATTTTAAGCTGGAAGTCTCTGATTTCACAACCTTGTCTGAATGTTTCAGAAGCGATGTTTCCTCTTCCAAGACTGTGAACACATTATGTCTTTCTGCCACAGCAACAAGGTTGCTTGTGTGTCTTGGGGACAGCTACTTAACCCCTTAGTGTCCTCATATCCACGGCTAGAAATTATAGACTTGAAGGTCAGTTCGAATACCAGTCCAGCTGACTTCCTTGTCTGGTAGCCCAAACCTATTAGCAGGAAGCAACGGGCACCGAGTTCATTTTTAAAAATGGTTTAACGCTGGCAAACCCACAGATGCCGTCGTTAATGTGATTACTATCCGTACACCCTAATTTCCATCAGCAAAGTCGCCCCCTTGCGATGGCCGTCAGTGCGGCTGACGGTGGAGGAACAAGATGGACGGTGTCCTACGCACTTGGGCTGAAGCATGGAGGCCACTCAGGTCTTTCTTCTTTCTCCGGTTCGCGCCCTGTGTGCATCGTGGTAAGGAGAAAGACGATTGGCCTCACTGCTGCTGGGGGGGGGGGTTAGATACCATGCAGGTCCAAGTCATCTGGGCCCCATGAAAACAGCACATTTGGTGTCTGGAGATTTTTGACACCCTGGGGTAGGTTTGCAATGAGAAATCTAAATACTGGCTGGTTTGTGTGCCGCTGGTGTTTAATCAGCAATCCCGGAGAACAGAACCTGTGGAGCTGTGGGATGCGTTTAGAGCATTTGTGGTTCTCTCTGGGATTTTTCTGATGGTTTTATTTCCATAAGAGAAAACTCAAACACCCACCCATGATTTCCACATCCTAATATGCCCAAGTGTTAAAAGAAAAAAAAGAAGGATAAAAGCTGTTTTATGGATATGAAGCCCTTGCTATGTGCCTAGCAGCATGGTAGACACCAAGGGAGATGTCAAAGAAGCCAAAACTCGGTCTGTGACCACAGCAGGCCACAATTTAGGTTAACATAGAAAACCACACCCTGTGTGTACTCAGCTGAAGAGAAGGTCAGACAAAGCCTCAAGGAGAGAGAGGTTGAAACTCAGTTCCCATCAGTGGACTGCAGGCTGCCTTCCTTTTGTCTTATCTATCCAAACGTTGTCTTAAAATGGAGGCTCATCTTGACGGCTCTCTCTGGAAAGCTGTGGATTAGAGAAATATATATATATATATTTCTACCATGCCTCAAAGTCCTGCTGGCGGTTGGTCTTTACAGTCATGTGACAGAGGGAAGAAGCCCCTGGAGTGTGGTCAGTTCCTCTGTACGAGTGCCACAAGCAAAGTCACAAACGCTAGAAATGTTAGAAAATAAGTAAATTGCTACAAGTTTGCCGTCTCAGAGGCGAACTCTGTGACCCCCCATGAAGGAATTTCCTAACTTGAGGGACTGGCAGTTCTCTCTGGTGTGAATTTCCTCAAATGGAACAGAAAGCTCTCTCTGAGTGCCATATTATTTGTTGAGGTGAGTTTTCTCTGCTCTCGGGCAAACTTTCTGTGACCTATGAGACAGGATAACATGCAACAGTAACAGTTCTTTTTCTAGGGGCTGGAGAGATGGCTCAGTGGTTAAGAGAGTGGCTGTTCTCCCACAGGGACGCTCCCAGCACCAGTGTCACTTGACTGGCGACTACCTTGTAACCCCAGTTTCTCAAACGCCTGTGCTCATGTGCTCACCCCCCACACACATAATTTAAAATTAATAAACCTTAGAAAATCGGTCTTTTCATCACAGTGATTCTTCAGATTCTCTATGATAATGGGAAATCTCTTTGTACTAATCATAGATCCAAGACAGCTATAGCAATTAATTTCCTTAAAACTGTAGAGACTCTCCTGTGGAGAAGGCATATTCAGAAAGCATGACATTTCTATGTCTTCTCCCCTTCCCCCCACTCCTCTTCCACACCGGCTCTCAACCATGCAGCCCTGGGTGGCCTACAACTCAGTACATAGACCAGGTTGGCCTTGAACTCACAGAGCTCCACCTGGACCCTGCCTCCTGAGCACTGGGATTAAAAGCATACACCACCATGCCCAGCTAGCTTATTGCCTTCTAAAATAGATGTGAGCTGCACACACACACACACACACACACACACACACACACACACGGCTTTACCTAGAAATCCAGGCTGGAACGGTGCAGGGCCGTTTGTGAACATCTGTGAGTGGAGCCCTATCTGTCTGTCCCTGCTTGTCCATCACTATTGGCACTGTAGGGCCCAGCGGGTCGGGTCTATTACTTGTTTTTACTCACCACAGTGACCGAGACCTGACAGCAAGTAATTTAACAGAAGGTGTGTTCTGACTCATGGAGGCTGGAGAGCACAGGCAGGCACAGTTTACGAGGCTGCATGGTGGAGCGTGTAGCTTCCTATACCCAGGCAGATGAAGAAGGAGAGGAAGAGAAATATTCAGTTGTCAACTGGCTTTTCCCTTTGCCTGCTTTATTCATTTCAGACCCTAGCACACGGGACGGCGTAGCCTTCCGGATTGGCCTCTTCCCCCCTAGTTAATCTAGTCTGGAAAAGCCCTCTCTGTGCACACACCCAAAGGTATGGTGCTTACATGCCCTCCCTCAGTGAACTGATCTAATCAAGTTAACTTAGAGATCACCTGTCATAGCAAGGGGTTCTCATATAAATCAGGGCTCTGGCACTACACCCTACTTTCGAATCTTTGCACGGGACCTTTTAGGGGGAAGGGGGTGGATCAGTACCTCTGTAAGCTGCTAACCATCGTCTGCAGCATCTGGATCCAAGGTGAATGGGAAACGGAGTCAACCTCTTAAGTCACAAGCCTAACGATTCCCTCTGTGGGACAGCATCGTCGGTAGCTGTGTCATCGTGTCATGTGTCACGTCTGAAGCTGGCTGGATCCCCCAGGTTAACTCCACGGGACTGAGCATGCTGCCACGGCTGAAGGGGCACTCTGACCTCCTCCAGGCTCTCAGCGACCCTGGTTTAGAGACGAACTTTCCTTGCGCGTAGCACGCATTCAGAGAATGGCCTTGAGAGTGAGTTCCGTGGGGAGGACTCCCCAGCCTGGCAGGGAGAATGGGCTACCTTATTTGCACTTGCAATAAGGTAGCTTGACCCAGAAAGCCAGACCACCATTGTGCGGGGCCGGCTGTGCGCTTCCATGTGAGCCGGTCACCTAGGGTAGCCCCGGCCTAAAACAGTCACAGCCATTCTGAGTGCTCACCACCCACAGTGCTGCGTGCCCCATCTGCCTCAGCCAAACTGCGTGCTTCTCAGAACAGTGCCTTGATGGCGGCTTCTCCTCCGAGGCCTCTCCCCAGGAAGAAAACGCAGTTCCTGCAGGAAGAGCCCCGATGTCCTCCGCTGATCTGTCCTCTGGGAACTTGTCCAAATGTTCCTCTCTAAGTTTCCCATGCATCCCGTTTAAAGAAAAGACGCTGACATCTGGGTCACGCGTTGAGTCCACCGGGGCAGCCAGGCCCTTGTTGACTCTGGTCCATAAAAAAGGAGCTGGTACCTAAGGAAATTCCGGTGAGTGGAGCCAGGCGGAAAGCCTACAGACAGAGCAGTGGCCCTCCCCTGCCGCCATGAAGGCACTTTGTGCCAGAGACAGTGGTTCTTGCTGGGAGCCCTGTGGGGATTCATTCCCGTCTCCATTAGCATTTCTGACATCTAGGCAAGAGGTTTCCTGGTGCTGGGAAAGCGGCCTTGCCCTGGACACTTCTGCCTCAGCTGGACTTTAGTATCCCCCTCCCCCCAGTAACTGTGTCATGGTTTTATGGCCCAATAAAAGACCATCTGTATTTATTTATTCTTATTTATATTGGAGACAGGGTTTCTCTGTGTAGTCCTGGCTGTCCCAGAACTCACTTGGAACCCCGGGCTGGTCTCGAACTCAGAGAGTCTGCCTCTGCTTCCTAAGTGCTGGGATCAAAGGCATGCCCCATCACTGCCCGGACTGTCTGCTAATTTTAATACGTGCATCACATCCTCCCCACCCACCCTGGTGGCTCTCTGGGTCCCCAGACTCAGGGAGAAGTCGCCGACACCACAAGTGGGGTGTTTCTCTCTTCCATTGTGTTTTATCTGTCCTGGACTTACTCCGTGTTTTAGAATTATCGGACGCCGTAACATTTGACTCCCGCATTTATCAACAACAAACGGCAGATCTGAGCCTTGCTTGGGGTCTTCTAGAGGATGACCTTTGCCCTGCAGAAGCTCAGTTTGGTGTCATTGTTCCAGACCCAGTGAGACTGACTCCATACACCAAGAAGCACTGCAGCCAACTAAACTTCTAGACGGTTCCACAGCACCATTTCCTTGGACCTTGGCTTCTGAATCCTACATATTTAATTGCAATCGTAATTGCATTAATTTATTTCCATGTGTTTTTATGTCTGCTCACTATGCCCACTGTCTTTTCTATTTCTGGAGAATAAGAGAGTACGGCCCTGACCTTCAAGAAGCTTAAGGTTACGCAGCATGGTGACGCACACCCTTAATCTCAGTACTCTGGAGGCCAGGGCAGGCAGGGCTCTGTGAGTTTGGGGCGGGCCTGGTCTACGTAGTGAGACCCTGTGTAACAAACAATCACCAACTTTTTAAAAAGCTTGAAGTTTTCAGGACTTAAAAGCGCAGAGGGAAATGTATGAAAGCGAATATAAGAGGCTGGGAAATCCTCTAACAGGATGTTTGTTGGGCCTGAGAAAGGCTCGGATGCGAGGCCCAGTGTAGGCTCCTGAGCCTGGCTAGAGTTTAGCGACCTGTCTCTAACCTGTAACCTCCACGAGGGGATGACTCAGCAAGGCCTCATAGAAGACTGCCCCCTGCCTAGCTCCCTGCCTGCTTGGTGGAATACTATTGGTCCTTAACTCCTCACATCACCTTATCCTATCCCAAGATTCCCATCCCCTACCTCAGCCCTATGTAAATTCCTGCCTGTTGGAATAAATCGAGCTCCTGCTTCAACAGACTCCCGACTCAGTGTGTGTGTTTTTCCTCCCCGGTAACTAATGTGGGGAGGGTCTGAGTCATCGACACTCACCATCCTGCTCGGCCCCCAAGAAGAGGCCAGCTGGACCAGCCCTTCCCACGCTCTACCTGCAGGGGGGACCCTGCAGATGTTTACAAGTTTTGGATCATTCCACAAGAAAACGTGTTTCAGGAACACTCAGCGTGGACCTGGCTATGCTTTGGGAAAGGTGGAGTAATAACGATATTCTTTGCCTCATTATAAAACTAGGCTAAAAAGAAGAAAATGTCCGGCTTTGGTGTGCCTGTTCTGCTTCTGGCCCTCAGGAGGCAGGGGCAGGAGGATAGATGCATGTTGGAGGCCAGCCTGACCTGTGTAACAAGCGTTAAAGACATCTTAAAAAGGGGGCGGATGACGGCGGGCACGGTGGGAGACGCCCAAGTGCTCTCAGGGCTCGAGTCCACGAAGCGTCCCAAGGAGGCTTGACCGCTTGCAGCTGAGTTTGGAGCTGGGCCAGCTGGAGGGGTTTCCTTCCTCGCCAAGCTGACCACCACCGAGTTCGACTCAGCTGTGGGAGCTGGGAATGTGCCCAGGGTAAGCCGTCTGTCGTTTCACCACTCCCGGAAGGCTGGCGGGGCTGCTCCGGGGAGGACAGCCTCTCACCTCGAAAAGCAAGAGGAAAGCGGAGTGTCAGCCACGCTGCGGACAGCCAGCCCGGGGAAGCCGATGTGGGTGAAGGCGATGGTACAGACGCTGGGGCCACCGTGGATGGGATCTACCCTGGCCGGAACCTCGAACCCAGACTCCCGGATTGTTAAGGAAGAGGGTATAGAAGAGCCGTTGGACCCTTGTCTGGGCAGGGATGGTTTAGGCCCTCGCTCGTTAGGCGTCCCGAGACATGGGAGCTGTTTGGAGGCCTGTAGACCTCTGCTCTGGTAACCACACCATGCATCCTTGATCCTCTGTGCTTCCCCTCCAGGGGAAGAAGAGCCTTCGGTCCTGGGGCTGACGGGACCTAGTGCATCATATGCCTTTGATCGGCGAGGAGCCGCGTGAGCCACGAGACGGGTTTTTCAGCACAGTGACGAAGACCGGGGGTGGGGGGGGGATGGGGACCACACACCGACGACTGCGGCTCTGGGTGGAGCAGAAGCCAGACTTGCTGGGCAGTAGGTGGTGGAAGGAACAGAACTCCACACTGGGGAGGGGGGTTGGGGGGATGTGGAAGGGTGAGACAAACGTGCAGGTGGAGAGAGAGTTGAAGAGGGCAGCGGATGTAACCGTGGCACCCCCTAAGGTCCCCGACCCCCCCTGCCTCTTACCCCGTCCAACGCTCGCCCCCTCCCGGGAGTTCTCCCATCTTGAACACCCTCCAGAGTCCGAAGGCCTTGAGGAAGCCGTGGAGTCAGGAAAGTCGGGCTGTTCTAAGTGCAGAGGTGAGTCAAGACCTTCAATGACATCATAACACCTTCCTCTTGCTCATCCGAGACTTGATCTGGGATTCAGCCTTCTGAGACACAAGCGTCAAAGTTCCGCAAGGGAGCGGCCCCTCGGTAGCCTGGAGCTGTGGATGAGTGGACAGCCCGTAGCAGAGCCCTGAAAGATACTGTAAGCCTGAGATAGATAGATAGATATAGAGAGAGAGAGAGAGGGAGGGAGGGAGGGAGGGAGAGAGAGAGAGAGGGAGGAAGGGAGAGGGAGGGAGGGAGGGAGGGAGAGGGGGAGACAGAGACAGAGAGAAGAGAGAGAGAAAAAAGAGAGAGAGAAGAGAGAGGAAGAGAGAGAGGGAGGGAGGGGGAGAGGGAGAGGGAGAGAGAGAGATTTGAGAAACTGAAACCTGAGGGTGATTAAAGACTTGAGAGCCTCAGAGGACCGTCTCCTTTGGAGAGAAGACAGCTCCTCAGGAGCTGTCAGGGGGCTTGGTCAGCGTAGGTAAATTACAGGCAGCTTGGTTACAAAGCAAGAAGAATAACAGTGGTAGGGAGAATGAAAACAGATATGTGGGTGGTAGAAATGTCACAATTTTTTAAAACTTTAATTTTTTAATATTTATTGTCGGGTGGACTTGATTGTGAGACGTGGAAGTCTTGCAAAAAATTTAGTTTGCTTATCGACGTAGCAAGCCGACAGGACTGTTTGTTCTTTGGGTTACTGGAGGACAGAAAAGACACACTCCGACAAAATACAGCCACGGGCAAATGCTTTTCTGCGGTAGAATAAGGTGGGGCTCACCCCAAACACCTGAACACCACACGGTGGCTTCTCCCGGCTCTAGTATCTAAGAGTGGTCCAATGGATCCACAGCTGCCTCCGGCCTTGCTGAGTCACTCTCTCCAGCCTCCTGCCGCTCAAGGATCCTCCTGCGAGCGAGCGAGCAGCCTGTGAGGTGGGAAGACAGGCACTCACGTCTGCCGGGGGAATGCGGTGCAGCTGTGCGCAGGAGACCAAAGGCCACAGCCGTCAGACGGACGGGATGCATGAGTCTTGAAATTGATGTTTTGTTCCCAGCAGGCAGCAGTGAACTGACAGGCGAATGGATGGCTGAAACGAGATTTGAGACTGGGACACTCACACTTCCAGCTTCTCCTCCCCATGAGTTGCCGTGGTCCTCAAACTTGGGAGAGATAACGAAGAACGAGCCCACATGAAAGATTAGGGTTTTCAGGTCGTAGAGATAGCTCAGTGGTCAGAGCATGTCTTCCAGAGAGGACTCAAGTTCAGGTCCCAGCACCCATTCGGGGAAGGGGGGATGGGGGGGTGGAGGATGGCTCACAGCCACCTACTGTGGTGATATTTTGTTTGCGATCTAACCGATAGTTTGCCTAAAGATCAGAGTGTGGAGCTAGCCACACTGCTTAGCTATACGGGCCAGGCGGTGGTGGTGCACACCTTTAATCCCAGCACTCTGGGAGGCAGAGGCAGAGGCAGAAGAGGCAGAGGCAGAGGAGGCAGAGGCAGAGGAGGCAGAGGCAGAGGCAGAGGCAGAGAGGCAGACAGATCTCTGTGAGCCACCACTGCCTGGTTCTCTTTCTCTTTTAAACTGGGTCAATCTCATGTAGCCCAGGGTGGCCTTGAACTCACACAGTTCAGCCTCTGCCTCCTAAGTGCTGGTGTTAAAGGTGCGGCCACCACTGCCTGACCTCTGTGGATAACTAGTGGCTTATCTCTGCACTCTGACCCTCAGGCAAGTTTCATCTGTTGGATTACAAACAAACAAACAAATATCACCACAACCTGCACAGAACTTTAGCTTCCCATGATCTGACGCAGACACATTAGAAAAAAAATAGACCTTAAAAACAAAGACTAAGGTCTTGCAGGGGAAAGGAGTTGTGTAGGGGGTGTTAACTTTGACTTTGCTGAGGGTGACCTAAAGATTGGACTTACTACAGCGTTACCCCGTGTGTGATGACTCCGTGATGTCATCGCTTTTTCAAGCTGACCGTCTCGTGACTCCAAACGTCAGCTTTCTTTGGTCGTTGATGGCACTGGATTTAGAATGCTCCCCTGAAAGCTTACGTGATTAGCTTGAGCTAAGCCAAGCTAAGACACAAGTCAAAACTTCTCGTACCTTCAGAGACGGAATGCAAAGGTAACTTGGGCTCCACAGCAAAGTCACCAAAGTCTGGGCTTTTGCCCAAAGAGATGTTTGGCCCTTGTCAGGTTACTTAGCTGTCCTGTGTCTAAGAAGGAGTTTTAGGGAGAATTAAATGAAGGGTCTTATAAGGGAAATTCTGGCAATGAGGTAAGTGATTGCGTTCCTGACTAAGTCACTCAGCCATTCTGGGCCTGTAAATTAGAGAGAGAGGAGAGGTTATACCCCCCACCCCCACCTCCAC